ATACATCTACTCGCTTTACAGGAACAGTACGCGTTCCCGGAGCGTCTTGTCGCACTTCTTTTCGTGACCGGCTTCATGACTGCTGGAATTACTGCCCCGCTGGTTGGAGCGTGGGCTGATACCTAGTGAGTCTTTGTCTCTTCTCTGTGTTTGCATTGCGTCTTCCGCGCTTCCAAAGGCGCAATACGTGCAATCTCCATACGATACACCGAGACCACCGGCTCGTGCACCTCAATGTGCGGAGGCGCGGCGCGCATTTTGGCTATCACTTGCGTCCCCTGCAAAAACGACATCAGCGTCCCGAGTTCATCGTCCTAGCGAGCCGCGTACATCGCAAATCTCACTTCCTCCCGTCGACATTGAAAGATTAAACGCTGAAGCCGACCGGTTCCTTGATTGTGCAGTGGACGGAAAAGACTCTGCCAAATGTTCTGCGTCACTTACGCCCTGGCATGTCTCTGCATCCAAGTCCCGAGCCTGCCCATCCTCCTCTTCGGCCGCGTGCTCGGCGGTGCCTCCACCTCGATCCTCTACTCAGCATTCGAGTCCTGGCTGATCTCGTCATCGAACAACCTCTCACTGCCGCAATCGGACCTCTCGGCGATCCTCGGGCGCGCGACGCTGCTGAATGGCTTCGTCGCGACCGCCGCGGGCGTGTCCAGCAACAAACTCGTCGGCTGGAGCGGCTCCTTCGCGTCGCCATTCGTCGCGAGCGGCGTCCTGCTCGTGCTCGCGTACGTCGCCATCCAGGGCAGCTGGCAAGAGAACTACGGGAGCCCCGACACCGCACCCGAGAGCGCCGCGGACCTCTTCCAAGCCAAGCGGCTCGCGCAGGCATGGCACATCATCCGCCACGGTAAGCCGCAACCCGCCCGTGCCCCGCTTTGGCCCCTCGTCTGACTTCGCGCACGCGCCCTGACAGACCCGCACCTCCTCGTGATCGGCCTGACGCAGACGTGCTTCGAGGGCTCGATGTACCTCTTCGTCTTCCTGTGGGTCCCGGCGCTGCAGGAGTCGTCGGACCCGTCCGAGCCGCTGCCGCTCGGGTACATCTTCTCGTGCTTCATGGTCGCGATGATGCTCGGCTCGCTGCTGTACACGACCCTCACCTCCGTCTTCGGACGCGCATCAGACCCGGGCGCAGGTGGCGCGGCCGCGGCGGCGGCAACGCACGAGGAGCCGCTCGTGCTGCACGCGAAGCTGAGCTCGCTCGTGTGCGCCGCGAGCGCGCTCGCGTTCGCGGTGACGATCGCGTGCCGGCACGACGCGCACGCGCGCTTCTGGGCGTTCTGTGCGTTCGAGGCGTGTGTCGGGATGTACTACCCCGTGCAGGGCATGCTGCGCGGGAGCCTCATCTCGAACGAACACCGTGCGACGGTACGCTGTCTATCTTCCTTTCCTCGCGTGGACCGTCAAATCCCAGGCTGACATGCGCGCGCGTGTGTGTTTTTCGGCAGCTCTCGTCCCTGTTCCGTGTCCCGCTCAACATCTTCGTCGTCGTGTCCCTTCTCACTGGCGTCTCGTCCGCACGCGACAAGGTGCTCACCGCGAGCGCGGTCATGCTTGGCATCTCGTCCATTATGACAGGTGTGTCCCCGCCCAGGCTTGCTTCAAGATCTTTCTGGAGGCTGAACTTGCGGTCTGTCCAGGTGCCATCATAGTAAACGGACTCGACAAGCGACGCATCGCGGAGACTGCTGCCAGGCCAGCATGAATGGTCTTGGCTCAGAAAAACATCTTCACGCTTTATCTGCAAGGACATTACTAAAAGGACACTCGATAGTATAATTTGTATTTGCACCGTCCCTGCTCACCTCGGCCCCTTTCCTAGTATTGAGACGCCAGCTGCAATCTTCTCCCGCGAAATGTTCACTTCCTGATATTAATATATGAAACTCAACCCAATCCGATTACACGTCGGAACGGGACTCGAGAGCTTTTTCTGTAAGTTCTCTGCCACTGCCTTGCTTCCCGAGTTCTGAATACAGTAGTCGGTCTCCCTCGGTGACGCGGATACACTCCTGTGGTGCCTGCATCCCTGCACAGCATTATTTTGGCAATCATGAAGGCACTGAACCCTTGTGTTACGGGTACGATTTACAACTAGACCGGACTTTCGGCCAAGTGCGAGCTTCCATTTGTCACACTCTCGCCGTTCCTTGTCGTACCGTCGAACACGGG